TGATTGTGGAACTACTGTGTACTAAAAGTTTGTATCGAGGAAGAATAAACTGGTTTAACCAAGAAAGGACTTGTATTGCTGAAGATCCTTGGAAAGAATTTCTACCAGAGACAAACAAACAAGCAGATATTCAACACTACTAAGTAATGCTCACAACCAGTGTGGTTCCTATACTACAGCAATGAAATGTGATACACATAACAGTTTTCATGCAGGATTTGTCCTTCTGCATATTGGTAACTAGGTGAAACAATTCTTGCAGGAGTACTTTCAGAACAGAACCATTTCACATCAGTTTGCTTGTGAAAGGCTAACTCATTAACTACCAGGTGAAACAATTTTTGCAGGACCACTTTCAGGGCAGAACCATTTCATGTCACTTTGCTTGTAAAAGGCTAACTAATTAACTAGACATTAAATTATTTTTAACTAAAAACAGTCTTAATTTTCAAAATATAGATCTTTAATTACTATCATACTTGTCCAATTGTTGTCTGATTGAAAAAATCATATTAGAACCACTGCAAAGATGTTCCCTTTTATTTCATAATTTTCTAACTCTTGTAATGAAACATTACAATTGTTTCATTTTTGTTATTTTATCCGTCAAAGATATGACTGCCAGGTATGTTAATTTCTCCTTTGCTAAATCCAAAGTGAACTTGTTATAAATTTATTTTGATAAGAAATATAAAAAATCTCTACAATTTTTTGAAAAACAATATTACAACAATGATATGGGCTTATAATTTTCAGAATTTTTTATCACCATTTATATATACATGATTATCTGTGCAATGTGTTCAGTACCCTGACCAACATATGATGCCATACTGTTATTTAAGGAAATAGTGGTATCAATAATTACCTGTTGTTGTTGTTGTTTTCACATCATACTTACTTGCTTTGCTAACTTTAAAACATTTATTATACTAGTTATTTCAAGCTTTATTGCTAAAAAGAGCCAGAAAGACCCATGTATGAATCCAGATATAATTCATAAGTGTGTATAAAGAGATGGCACAAGTGATTCATCAACAAGTTTTTAACCAACATATGTTTAAAATTTATTTAGTAGTTCCGCTAATTCCTGCTGATCATGAATTTTATGTTTCCACTTTAAAGAACATCTACATATTTATTGAATTTTTATACCACTCATTTTATTTAGATCTTTCCAAGTATACTTGGCCTCTCACTGGCACAGCAATAAGTCTGTGGATTAATAATGCTAAAAACAAGGTTTCATAACCCATGGTAAACACAACACAGATAGCCAATTGTGTAGTTTTGTGCTTAACTACAAAAACACAAAAACCAAGTGTATTTGTTATCATTCTTATTAATTTTATTTTGATAAGGATACTCTTTTTTTTAAATTTGTAATTTCTCTTCCTTTTCCTTTAAAATTTACTTACCTCTTTATATAACTGCATATTCTTAAGAATTCAATTAGCTACTTATATAAATTTTGTTAACTATAGTTAGATTGTACAACTCTATGGCCATTGTTGTTTAAGTTTCATAACATAGGTAAATTAATATGTAGAATTACACACGGACTTTTCTTTATGTTAAAATACTTTTATTTGCAAGCTTTCGGCCCTCTTACATTGTTCCCTGATGAAGGCTCTGGTAAGAGGGTCATAAGCTCGCAAATAAAAGTATTCAAACATAGAGAAAAGTATATGTATAATTCTACATCTTTACAGTCATATTAATTAAATTTTTTATAAAATTAACTTTGTACAAAACAAATTTATTATCTGATTTTTAAATGCTACACTGCATTAACAGAATTATTTACATATTTAAATACTGTTGATAATTTAATCCAAAAATGACATTTTCTTAGTATTAATTTCTTGGTCTGCCAGTAAGTTTACAGACTTACAACACTAAAATCTGGGATTTGATTCCCTACAGTGGGCAGAGTACATATAGCCTATTGTGTAGCTTTGTACTAAAAACACAAATGAAGATTCAACAATCTTATCATTCATAAGTCCAAATCATTTCTTATCTTCTAATATTTTATCTTGTTTTTCTAACATTATGACTTATTTTAATATGAAAGTAGTCATCTATTTTATAATAATGAGAGCCTGGTTTATAACCTTTTAAACAGTTTTAATATCACTAATAATGTAAAAATAATTTTGCATTTCAAAAGTATTCACAAATGATGAGAAAACATCAAAGTGTGCCTCAATATACATCTAGAAAGGTAATAAAATGTACAATGAGTCATAAAGTTGTTTTCTATGATGCTAATAAGTTAATAATGATCCATTTAGCTAAAAAGATAGCAAGAAAGCAAAAGTTACTTTAACTTAATAACTATCATCATGCATTTTGTTGCTTATACATTTGCAAGGTTTGTTATGGTGCAAAATAGCTATGTTGGCAAAGCAGAAAGCTTCATTAAGCTTAACATTTACTGCACCGAATGTTAGTTTTTATTTATTCTGAAAGGCAAAACAACTATATTAAAAAATTAAACTGTTATATTCTACCTATCAATTTAGTTTCTCTTTACACATTTGCCCCTCAAAATAACTACTTATTTTCTTTCACTATAGCATTTATTATACACTTTATGGACAATGAAGAATATTTTGCCAACTCCTTTAATTACACTTGTTATGTATTGAGAATTTGAAATAATCCAAGGCCACATTAAATAATAGTTGAGACGTACCTTGAATTTAGGTCCAGGGGTATGATTCTTGCTTTGGGTGCGAGAGGTCCCGGGTTCAGATCCGGGACGAGCCCCCAAAGTTGTTGCCTAACCTAAGATGGTTAGTGAGCCGATCACTGTTTCATCTAAGGATGATGTTGTAGTTGAGGAGAATCCCGATGTGTTTCCCTTGTGTTCTGTGACTCGAGCTCAGGCTAAGAAATTAAGTCAAAAACAAATAATAAGCATGGATTCAGAGAATGATATTATTAAATTGTCTCGGACATTTTTTGGATCCAACAGGGATCTTGTGAATGATCGTCCTACTGACAATATCTCTGTGAGTGACAACGATGGACGTGAAGGATCTGATTCACCTTGTAAAGTTCCATTTACTAAAATGAGAAAAACATTTGCAGATCACTTCACTATTTGAACACATATTCCCAAAAGATGAACTTGAGAAAATACCAAATGGTTATTTTTTCAAAAATGATGTGCTTATGAGGAAATGGAGACCACCAGATGTGCCAGCTTCAGAGGATTGGGCTATTGTTCATCAAATTGTTGTTCCAAAAGCATGTCCTTTTGAAATATTGAAAGTTGTCCATGAACTCCCCATGGGAGATCATTTAGGTGTCAACAAGACAGGTGACAAAATTATGAGATATTTCGTTTGGCCATAGTTAGGCAAGATATTTATCAATTTTGCAAAGCTTGTCATACCTTTCAGTTGGTCGGATAGTCTAACCAGAGAAAGAAGAACAGAAAGAAAAAATACAGAGAGAGAGAGAAAGAAAGAAAGGAAAATACAGAAAGAAAGATAGAGACAAAAAAGAAAAAAAAGAACAGACAGGCCTACTATGAAACTGTTATAACCGTGTAAGCTATAAACTGTGATTTCATTAACCCTTATTAACTGGAAAATATACGACATTTGACCAGGAGCATTTATAAATTTTGAACATCAGTGAATTCCCATTAAACGTTAATATCTCTCCAAGAATATTACTAATCTTTCATCGGACATCAGTGATTTTATGAAAATATTATCTTACTTCAACGGTCCAACAATTCAGTGCCTGACAAAGCTAGCTAGCTTCCCGCCAAATTATATATATACGTACAACTCGCTGGACATCAAGGAGACTGAACTAGGAAGACAGTTTTAGGCTATTTGTAAGTTAGTGAAATTTCTGTCTATAAAACTTTGCTTGTAATAATTAGTCATAATAGTTGCTACTGTAAATTATAGTGTTGTGTATATATATATATATATATTAAAGCTTATTGGTGTCTAAACCAAAAATAGTGTGAATTAATCTTGTTGGCAAATAGTGTAAATTAAATAAAATACTGGCATATTTCTAAACCTAAATCCATGGTACGTCTCAACTATTAAAAGTTAAATTATTTAATGTCGCCTTGGATTATTTCAAATTCTCATTACGTAACATGATGCACTCTAGAATGCCTAACCTACTGATTATGTTTTTGTTTTGTTTTTTCAGGTAAATCACACACTAGACAGGCACTGAAATGCTTTACCTATTCATTTTACTTCTGTTTCAGTAAATTACACTCTAAACAGTACCTGGAATTCTCTACATTTTGTTTCTGTTTAGGTAAATTACAATCTAGACAGTGCCTAGAATGCCTTACCTACTGATTTTTTTTTCAAGCAAGTCACACACTAGACAGCATCTGAAATGCTCTATCTACTCAGTTTATTGTGGTAAATTACACTCTTAATAACTCTAAATATATTCTACATACCCATTCTGTTTCTCTATAGGCACCTTACACTGTGGACACTTCCTGGTTGTCTTTGAAATACAGTATACTGATATTAACTCTTCATATGTTTTTTGTTGTGTGTTATTATTTCTTTCCAAAGATGTATTCTTTAACACTTCTTCTATACTGATACATGGTGTACCCTGCAAGAAAAACAAAGTGTTCAAGCCATAATATATCTAAAATTAACCAATTAATCCTTATACTATTTTTGAATTGTTTACTCATTAAGTACAAATTTGATTCTTTATTAATTATATTTTGTAAATGGTTTCTTTATGATAATGATGACTTTTTCATTTAGTTATTTTTTTTAGCTTTATTCAATTATAATTTTTTTTTCTAATTTAAGCACCTTGCAAAGGTAATCTAATTGTTTGTCATGTTATATGTATGAACAATAGTTTATAGTACATAACACATTTAATTGTTTCATTAGGTGTGGTTTGAATTATCTTACTGTCCTTACTTTTATCTGTAGCCTTTTGGTTTTTGTCTTGTTATTCAGGTGTTACAAAAGTCTTTTTGGTAGACTGGTGATCAATTTGTAGTGGTGTACTTGTATTTCTTTATTTTATATTAAACCTCAGTATTCAATATTCACAAGCTTTTCACCATGAACTTGATTGTTGATTCTTTAGAATTAGTGTGTAAGATTAGTATTTACTGTTTCATTAAGTTAGTAGCTACTTTAACTTAGTGTAACTATTAACCTTTCTACTATTGGTCACCTACAGAAAACTAGAAATTATCACTTTCATTCTAGACTTTTACGAATTTAATTTTGAGTAGCAATCTTAAGATTGAATGCAACAGATATGCTATATTGACATATTACTTTCTTAAAGAAAGATTTGATTGTTGTCCTTGTTTCCAATATAACTAACCTGATGCCATGAATTCCTGCAAGAGGTACAGAAAGCAAATGAGCACTGCAAACAAAAGGCAAGGTTCAAAGAGTCATTTTCATCACAGACACAAGGATTATTACAGCGAGGACACCATTCAACATCTTTCATGGCATCCAGAGTTTTATGTAATAGTAAATGTTCCCAGCGTTCTAGAGCATCAGGCTCAAGGATTGTAGTGATGATACTTGTAGGTAGCTCTTCCTCGCAGTCTGATTCTGGGCACCTGTGTAGGTAGAGAACTATACTTAATATAATGACTTCTGAACTTGGCCTGTGCATGCGTATATATAAATAATTAAATAAATAGCTTACAAACTACTGATTACATTAATTGTTAATAGGTGATTAAATCAGCTCTATAAAACAATAATCAATTAAATATCGCATTACTGTTATCGGTCCATATTGTCATAATGAATAATGTCTGTGGTAATAGCACCCAAATGCATTAGGGATATCCCATCTATCAGACAAAATCCAAACGCAGATGTCAATCTAGTCAGCCTTCATGGAAAATCATAAAAAAACAAATACAGGTAAGAAGCTTAATGCTTAAACCCACAACATTTCAGCTTCTGCTGCCTTTCACTGTCTATAATCAGTTGTGGAAAAGCAGTTACCCTTAAATTTCTTAGAGTAGAAATGAAGCCACCCTAATATTTCTACTAATTAAACTTCCAACCTCCACCCTCACAAAAAGATATTAAATAGAACTATAAACCCTACTTTAAAAGTTCTTATGTAGTTCTTACTTCCAACCTCCTCCCTTTTTCCTGAAGATTTATTCAAGTATAACACAGGAATGCCGAGACAAGCCCAGCTACTTGGAATTAGTCTTTCCATCCTGGTTATACTGAATAAACTTATTTTAAAAATTGCTATTAGCTACTTATAAATTAAAGTAACTATATATATATATATATATAGTTATGTATACAAGTTATATATAACTTATATATATACAAGATTTATATACTCATTCTGAATTTAGGTAGCTATACAAATTAAACAGAAAAGCTGACTAATTCCAGTCTGCATCTAACTAATTATAAAGGCAAAACAAAAAAGTCTGGCTTAATATAATCAGTCTGCACAGAAAGTATCATGTAGTGTTGTTAATCTGAATGTAGGTATACTTTAGTATAATCAGTCTGGATTTGGGTATTTATACAAATATGGCAGAAAGGTGTCCTATACTATAGTCAACTTGGATCTAGATATGTATTCCAGCAGAACATAAAGGTGTGCTTTAGAGTTGTCAGTTTGGATCAGGATATTTAAAAAAATATGACACAAAGGTATACTTTAGTGTAGTCAGCTTGAATGTGGGTATTTATACAAATATGACACAAAGGTATACTTTAGTGTAGTCAGCTTGAATGTGGGTATTTATACAAATATGGCACAAAGGTATACTTTAGTGTAGTCATTCTGTATTTAAATATTTGTAAAAAATAGAAGACATACAAATACAGAATAAAATCAAATGTAATTTTTGGACAAAAAATGTAAATAAGATCTGTAATCTATAAATACTGAGAAAAAGAACCACACACTATTATGCCATCTATTAAGGAAGCATAAAAAAGAAGAAATACAGTTACTGGGTCAACAAAAGTTTTATACCTGAGGTTTTGAACTGTCCCTTCTTTCACATGCAGCTCACAATAATTCTTAATACAGCCTTGGCAGAAGTGGTGCTTACAGTCAGGAAGCCTAAAGAAATTCTGTCCCAAATCCTCACCAAAACAAATGGTACATTCCTGAATGTTCTGGGTGAAAAAATGCTGTTCCTCCTCCCAGTTATACCTTAACAATCATGTAAGCAAACAAAAAAAAAAAATACAGTTTGCATGTTCCAGTTATGAATATAGAAGGAATAGATAAAGATACTGAACAAAATCAGATGAATGATAGTTTCAATTTCTTGCTAGGAATAAGCTAACAATAAGAAAATACCAGTTCAGTATTTATAATCAAGAAGTAAAATTGTAAAACAACATGAAACATCAATTTGAAGTTAAATGTCAGCTTGCAAGTTATAAATATTATCCCAGGTGAATTGATGAGCTGGGATGTCGTTATTGAGTGGCAAACCTCATTAACAGCAGCATACCATAATCATGATGAGGTTCAACCACAGATGTGCATACAAGTATGTGGGTTTAACTGCTACTGTAAATTAATTTGCCTACTCTCTTCTTACTGGAAATTAGATCTGGGCAATTAGTGGAATTTTCTAATCACTTAATCATCAATTAATCAATTACATCAGGCTTAAATAGCTGGAATAATAAAAAATAGTAATAATCAGAAACACTTATGTTAATTAATTGATTATTTTTATGAGTTGTGGCACTAACTGATCAAGCTAAACAACCTTGAATTAATCAAAAAAATGAAAATATTTTAATTACTTGGACAATTGGAATAATCAAAAACACTTATATCAATTAATTTATTGATTTTGTGATATTAATCAGTTGATTGACTATTTTGCATAACACTATGCAATCAATGCTCATAGGTAATTAATTATACTAACTAATCAAATTATCAGTCTTATTGTGATGTATTATCACAAACATATTATCTATTAATCATAGTTTTATTTGATTGCATACTTATATATAACTTTTAATTAAGCATATTAGATTTTATTTTGTAATGTGATCCTAGTTTTGCTTTAGAATGGTCAAACATGTCATTTATTAACTCAAGAAATATTATTTTGTAAAAGCTGACTGCTACAGAAACAAAAGTATTACGAATGATTAAGAATGATGAAAACACCAACAGGTTACTAGAAATGTTTCACTACATCTCAAGGACCTAGACACAGTTCAGAAAGTGGGGGCTTATGTGTTAATAAGAGTTAAAAATAGCTATGTGCATAGCAACTATGTTATCTATGGATAATTGATTTTATATTAAAGCTAAAAATCTGGAGAGTGGGGTAAGCACACACACCCTGTCTACACCTTTACACTTAGATCCTATAAAAACTTATATTTGGTTTGAACCTCTTAAAAAGAAATAAATATAATAAACAACTCATAGTTCATACTTCTAGTTCTATAAAACCATGTGATGATAACTATCAAAATCTTTAATTTTAGATGCCAGTTTTAAATGCCAGGCTTACTAATTCAGCTTTTAAAATGTAAAATTTTATATAAGATTTCCTGAAATATTTGGATATATTTATGAGCATTCCATCAAGCTTCAGATGAATGCTGTTGTTCTTTCAGATTTCTTTGTAAATTATGTTTAACTGCTGTATCTTTGCATACTTGATCATAATCTTCAACTTCTCCACAACTCCCCTGTTATCTGGGACAACTTTTTCATCAACCATATCATCCACTGCTTTTCCTGAATTAATTCCATCTAGAGGACTAGTCAGGATTATTTGGTAGATGTCCAGGAACCTGAAAATTTTAAGACTTGTAATTGGTTTTTGATTAATCAGTTAATTAAACTTCAACTGTTATCATACACAAAGCCTTACCAGTTGGTCAGATGTCCAAAAGAAATACACCAAATAAACCTTATACAGTTTGTGATCTTTAATTATTGTGTATGGAAATAAATACAGTACTGTTTCAATAATTAATTAGAAGTTTCATGGTATATAATATGTTTTACATTTAAAATATGTTGCCCTTGTTATGGTGTATATTTTGGATTATCGTCATAAAACTTTGAATAAGATCATCACAATATCCTAAAAGAATGTCCGAGAGGATAAATGGGATGTACAGGTCATATAAATACCTGATACTGTGATTCTCTAGCCAGTCTGTCCAAAAGAAAATTATTGGCATCCCTCTCATTATTTCCCATAGTTCATCCAGCTTGCTACATAAATTAGTAATCTGATGATTGGTCAGCCAAAGACAACAGATAGTGAAATGAGGAGGATTCAACTGTGGATATCCTAGAGGTAGTGTTACATGTAGTTCTATAGGACTGAGGTGTTGAACTTGAAAAATAGACTGCCATCTATGACCTATTTATCAGAACAAAGAATATGAAGATATTAACTTAGAAAAAAAATTGGAAAAAGGAATAAGCACAAATTGTTTTTATTTGGCATTTATTGGTGAGTAGGGTAAGCTGTGACTTTAGTGATTATGTATTAAAACTTTGCCCAATTTTCTGAATAGAAGCTAAACTATTAAATAATATATTCTCCAATAAATAAATCTAGTAATGTTACTCTATTTAATAAATCTGGTAAACTTGCATCTCACTCCTTAACTTTCTACCAAACTAGATTAAAAGCTTGAGTACGATACAACAACCACATGGTAATATCTCGAAAGTGACCTCAAACAAACAATGTCTATTTTGGTGAAAAAAAGTACTTTTTAGATCCTTTTCTACATTCCTTGTGTAAACCAATTTAAAATATTCTGAGTTAACAGACACTGCCTAATTGTTATCATGAGATTTTTTTATAAAATTAGTTTTCAAACAGCAAGAAAACCAACCTGATGTTGTTCTGTAAAAACTGTGTTTAACAGCAGAGGCTTCTTTGGTTAGTGATTCACAATCATTAAAGAGTGGATGCCTTGGTAGTTTGCAGTTAACTTCAATGTACTCCTGATCATCAGGAAGCTTTGGCTTTATGAAAATCTAAAGTGAAGTGTTATTATAAATTAAATTCACAAACTTATACAAGATATTACCAAATGTATTAATATTGCACAAAAAAATTAGAAAGATATCATTAACTTATGTCTCAACAGCCCCCCCCCCTCCCTCTGCCCCATCCAACATGAAGTGGCTCCAACTCTGGCACTAAATACAGCATGAATACCAATACTTATCACTGCTGGTATATATGTGGTGGAGTAAACTTCAACTTCACTTGCAAATCAGCTCCAAGTGTAAAAAGAGTCTGGTATTCAGGAATGTTCCAGGGCTATCTCTGGATGTTTCTTGTCTTAACTACCACTTTATACAACTTGCATTATGAAATGATGAGTTATAATGCTGAAAGAATCATGACAGCCAATGCCATGTATTTGTGGCTATAATTCAGAGCTTATGGACAGCAGTTCATCCATAAAGTATAACAGATCCCTGTACACAGTGGATGTCTAATCCCTAAACCTAAACTCTCAGTATGATCCTTGGTGATTAATTAGCTAGATGAGTGGTTCATTTCATAATGTGTTTAGTATTTTGCATTAATTGGGTAGTGATTAATTTAAGGTAGAATAGTCAGCATTCACACTTGGATGATCTTCTAATTTTTAAGCATATTTCTTGAAGGTCTATGAACATCTTTAATTATGACATCATTAATCCAGTTAGCTGTCTGTTACAGCTGCTAACCTTTATAAACTGCACATAATAGTGCATCATGGTATTCATATGCAAATTAATTGGGGAAAGGCCCTTTACTAGCTGAGAGTGTTCTGTTTATTTGGTAATGCACTGTACCTCTATATTTATAAATATATATGTACAAGCTGAAATACCCATCAACTGATGGGGGAATGTTTAAACTTAATTAAAACAATGCAAGTTTAACAGCAATAATATATTTCAAAATAATATTTTGAATATAAATTTTATCTCAAAATTTTAAAATTATAACACAGCTTCTTCATAAACAACATTTGCAGTTTACTTTCCATCAACCAACAAATAAGGATTTTTGAGGTAATCCCACCCTTGAACACCCAACATCTCACTGACCATGAGAAAAGCATGGTTGTTTGCGAAACAATCCAGCAACTTTGAATTCCTTTAGAATATTCAACATTGTCTAAAGCATCAACCTACCAAGACTATTTGAGATTGACTCAATAGGGTTGGAGTAATTAACCAACAGGCTTTACAAAATAGAAATATGGTTAAGTAAAATTTTGACCCCCTTAGGACTTTTCTCATAGTTCATAATGTTTACATACAAGTTTTAGTTGAGATTGACCCAATAGGCTCTGAGGAGTTAGAGTGTAAACAAATACATATTTCATATTTATATATATAAATTTAAAGATATATACTGTCACAATATGAAGAAACTATTCACAAGACCGTGACAACTATCACTGTTACTATGTCTTTTCCTGCATAACTTAAAATACTAATAATGATATTGTTACGTCTCCGTTCGTTCGTTAATTAGTTTTCCGTAAATTCGTTCCCACGAAACTTTAG